CTCTCTCTCTCCCTCCCTCCCTACCATTAAGTAACTTGTGCATTGTTTTACTTACTACTTTTTGACATATCCGACCGAACTACAAACTTTCCAGTGATGTCTGTGAGAAATGGATATTCACTCGACAAGCTCGCTCATCTGCTCTGCCGCGCGCTCAATCCACTCAGCGTGATTTACTTACCAGCTGGCGCAAATCAGCTATACAGGCATTAATACGGAATGTTTTATATTCATTACATACATATACTTCGTAGACATCTTTAATCTCTAATAACTCCATTCTGCTGTCTGTTGTCAGTACAGGAGCTCAGTATCGGGCCCGATACCGATACCAGTATTCGTTTGACAGATACAGTACTGTGCCAACTGTAAGTGTAACAACAGTAATTATCAGGCCTTTGGTGCCCTTTGCTGATGCACGGGCTTCATCTTGGGCTTTTTTATTTTACTTTTCTCTGCGCCGGACGGCGCTGATGTCTTTTCCCTAATATAGTCTAGTAGTCTAGTATACTGCCTATACTGTGTTCATCATAAAATGCATTTTGTATAATTATATGTATATAATATATATGTTAATGTTTAGATTTTAATTTATGTATATGTTAATATTAATATAGAACGAAAGAAACATTTTTTTTGAGCAACTGGGATGGTGCCCCCTGGGAGTTGGTGCCCTACGCAAACTGCGTCCTCTGCGTATAGGGAGCGGCGGTACTGGTGCCAAAGCATAATGGCCCAAAACACAACTTTAAAGACCTTTTATGTTAGAATAGCCTAATAAGTTTAAATATATATTTGAAAACTACACTTTCCCGGAAGACCTATCATTTCATATCGTCATGTGACCACGATAATATCGAGACAGTTTTGATATCGCAATATGCTATCCCTAGTAGATAGTTAATATATATAATATATAATCATTTTATTATTTATGTGGGTAAATCTGAAGAATATTAATTCAAATGTATGGGTGAATCTCATTAAAATACATGAAAATTAAATAATTACATTAAAATGAATAAATCTTTATCTTTATTTAGTAAACATACAGCTATATGCTTTTTATATAAACAAATTAATGGCAGTATATACAATATATATATATATATATATATATATATACATAAAAGAAATAAGTAAATATATGATTACAGATTAAAAAAACATTTAGAGGAAAATGTGCTTAATTATCATTAATAATTATGATAATTAAAATATTCTCATAATTTAAAAAAATAATGCACAATTAGAATAGATTTAGTTTTCGATAGTTCCCTTTTCAGTAAGCAGACAAAATTTCTTATTTTTGTCTTTTGATTTTTAATAAGAAATGTGACTTCATATTAACACCCTTGACAGGTTTCATACAGATTACTCATAAATAGATCAATTAGAACAATTAGAACGTCAGTTTTGCACAAAGTTTGATTTAACAGCCTTCAAGAGTGCTTCACTGCTGCTATCCAGAAGAGGGGGATATTCCTTCATTTGTTTAAAGGTGCTCAAAAATGTTTAGCCAGTGATGTTACAGAGGCATCTGAACTGGAGCGTGTGGGTGAATGTGTAGGAGAGATGCTATTGTTTGAGGCCGATCCTGCTGTGTCTGGGAGTGGCAGTAATGCAGTCATTTCTCTGACCTTGAATTGAAGCCAAACTCTGGAAACATTCTTTCTGTTTACAGTGACTGTATCACGCTAACCACAGAATGTTAGTCGAGCTCTGTCAGGAATGTCTCAGTTTTATTGTATCTATAATTTGAATCAACCCCAAGATGCTCATAATTTCTGTTTGTGCGTCTCCTGGTCTGACAGGTGCAGTGGCCAGCAATGAGGTCAAGCAGAAACTCCAAGAGTTTCTGTTGAGTAAATCCACCAAAGACGGTACAACCAATGGGGTCCCCCAGAGCTCCAAACTGTGGTACACGTAAGTAACCTTCACATACCTCAAATACCTTAAAACATTTGCTGTTTTAAAAGAGCTGGATTTTAGTTTTCAGACTGTTCATTTTAAATTAATTTAAATTTAAATACTATTTAAAAATGTAACTTCTTAATAGATAAATCAAAATATTATTCACTATGATTGTAAAGTTTGTGGTCGGATTGGGATTGTAAAGTCTCTTATGCTCGCTAAGGCTGCATTTATTTGATCAAAAATACAGTAAAAACAGTAATATTTTGAAATAGTATTGCTATTTAAAATACCTGTTTTCTATGTGCATATGTTTTAAAATATAATTTATTCATATGACGGCAAAGCTGAATTTTCAGCATCATTACTTCAGTCTTTAGTGTCACATGATCCTTCAGAAATCATTCTAATATGCTGATTTGATGCTCAAGAAGCATTTTTATTATCATCATTGCCGAAAACAGTTGTGTTGCTTAATATACATTATTTTTAGGATTATTTAATGAATATTATGTTTAAAAGAACAGCATTTATTTAACATATCTTTGTAACATTATAAATATCTTTACTGCTTAATAAATTGTATTAATTTCTTCTTCTTTTAAAAAAAAAATCTTATTTACTCCAAACTTTTGAATGATTGTGTATTTAAATGCTGTAAAATATTTAAAAAATAAATAAAGCAAGACTGGAGGAATATTTCAGACTTTCCTAGTAAAATGTAGGTGATTTTAACTAATAATCAGTAATGTGATACTAAGGTGGATAGTACTAGTGCACAAAAGAGCTGTCAGCTGTATTTATGACTGTGAGGTAAGTTCAGGAGTTCAGTTTGCATCTCCTTTCTGTTCAGGGCCTCCCATCACACCTCTCTGGAGCAAAGTTCACCTCCTTTGGGAGGAGCGTCCTCCTCCTGCAAGATCTCCCTGCTCTCCCCACTAGACTCCCGGGATGACTTTCCTCTGAGGAAGACGGGTAGGTTTCTAAAAGTTGGCCTCTCAAAACTGTCACAAAAAGACGTTACTCGCACTATCGTTTCGTAATATCATCATAATGTGCATTGCATTCATGAGCAGTGTTGGGGGTAACGCATTACAAGTAGCGCGAGTTACGTAATCAGATTACTTTTTTCAAGTAACTAGTAAAGTAACGCATTACTTTTTAATTTACAAGAGAATATCTGAGGTACTTTTTCAAATAAGTAACGCAAGTTACTTTTTTTTCCCCAATTTATTAATGCATTACTTTTAAAAGTAACTTTCCCCAACACTGTTCACGAGACATACTACAAATTATATTTAATTTCCGCTTTTATTGCTTTATGAAACATGGGAGGTGGGGTTACAGTATGACTCAAAAGTCTTTTTCCCAGAATTACAAGATCCCTTGAGAGACGACGCATAGGCTCAGATTTGCATTATTTCAGGGATAGTTTAAAGAGTGGATTTCCACAGTAAGATTTCTTTTCCTCTGAGCATGCTATAGAACCACAAATTTCCTAAAACGCTAAAGGTATATAATTTTCAGCTATATAAGAGGCTTTAATTATTTCGAAAATCCTTGACTTTTCGCAGAAAACACCACAGGTTTGTTGACTCAGTGCTGGAAGGAGTCTCGTAGGAAGTCAGTATTAATGTGAGTTATGACTCCCACTTGGCTGGCCAGTCATGAGTTCTTGCAAAGGCCGAACTGTTCATAACTGTGCTGTTAAGTCACGGAAATGACATTACATTCCTTCCCCTTTGTGTCCCTTTGAATTATGACAGTAAACAATTATACCTGCTTAAATGCTTTACCATATGGGTTGGCATGTTGTGTATTTACATAATTTAGGGATCAGGCAAGTGAGTTTTAATCCTAAATTATGCGGACTGTGTCTGCCAAATGTAAACTAATCTAAGGTAATTATGTAGGTTGTTCTGTTCAAATAAGCACTTTATAGACACATGAAAGAGACGTGTTTATTGTCTTAGCTTTTGAACAGTAACCTCCCAGTTTCAGCATCAATTTCTGCTTTGCTCCTCTGAAACCAGCCAATATCCTGAGAACTAAAAGGAGCGGAAGGTTCTGGAATCCAAACAGCCTGCTGAGAAATCAATGGCTGTCCCAAGCAAAAAAAAAAAAAAAAAAAAAAAAAAAAGAAAGAGAACTTTTTTTTTTTTTTTTTTTTTTTTTCAAAAAAAAAAAAAAAAAAAAAAAAAAAAAGAGAGATAGAGAGGCCTGAGCTGTTGCTGTTAGGAAAATGTACAAATATGAACTGCTTTGGTCCCTATCCCACAGTATTAAGATCAATGACAAATGGCGTGACCATAATAAAGAAAACAAAAAATCTTGTTGAAAATACCTATTTCAAATTTTGAAATATAAAAATGCCTCTTTTTTAAGAAAAGTTTACATTTAATGACTCTAAAAATGTCATGTGGTGTAACTATCAAGTAATAATCAATAGACTAAATTTGAGTATATTTGAATACATGTGAGTGTAAAATGAGTGTAAAAATTATTTTAAATATATATTTAAATGTAAAAATGTTTTTTTATTATTAATTCATAGATATAATAACGTTTTTGAGAAATTGCACCATATGATATTTTACTAACCTTGCCTTGTGAAAAAATATACAAATCTAATATTTTAAGAGACCTTGACACAAAATATCTGATATCTTAAGAGACCTTGACACACTCTATGATATTGCTTCCCTTAATGTTTCCTGTTTTTCCTTTGTTTAAAGTTAGTTTTTTAGCTGACATTTAAAAAAAATAATATGCTGTGAACAGTTTTATTCTCTCTAAGAAATAATAATAAAATTATGCCAAAATATCTTAATTTTTTTCAATTATAATTTTTCTTTATTCATTGTGTTAGAACTTATTCAAGCAACAAACTTTTGGAATAAACCATTTAAATTTATTTAGTTCATCAATATGCACCAGATAACCAAATAAGTGTCTTTAAGTGTGTTAATCTTATCCATTGCCTAAACCTTTTAAAACCTATTTCCTTCTAGTTGGATCAAACTCTATATGTGGTCACATCCATGCAAGGTCCCTTCCCCCTCTTCCTGTCCGTCTCAATTAGAGTCCCCTCAAATTAGACACGCAACAGGAGCCGCACAAAGATGCTGGTTGTTCCACGTCCTGGATTTCATCTGAGATGCTTGACTGGCATATGTCAAGAGGTTAGGTTAGCACTGTGGAGAGAACTAACCAAAACAAGGCAAATTTAGTGAGTACTACAGGAACTGACACTTTTTTAAAGAGGTAATCCTTCATTTCCTTTGAGTCCTTAGTGCTGTATCATCTGCAGAACTCAATGTGGCTTTGGTTTGATCACACTGTTCTCGACTGAAGTTGTCAAAGACAAACAAGCCATTTATCTCCAAAGCATCACACGTTTGTTTACTTGCCATGTATCTTCTGTGTGCCGAGTTCTGGACCAGAAAACATTCATGTGGCGGCACATGACACTGCTGCGGGGAGGAATAGTCTAGCTTATTGAAGAGAAGGAAAAACCTTCTTAGTCTTGACCCACATACCAAACATGTGGAGCAGGTGCAGCTGAGATGAGCGGGATTTGAGTTTGTGTGTTTTAAATGGTGGATATTTTGGGCCGCCAGACCAGGCTTGCATTATTATGTCATGCCAGTTTTCCCCACTGGATATGGAGGGATGGAGGAAGGGAAAAAAATAAAAATGAACCGAGATGCAATGACGAAGTAATATGGTTTGCAAGGGCAGTGTTGTTGCATCACATAGTCCTCATCTCCTGGGTAAACAGGTGTTTGTATTTTTACTAATGAGAGAAAAAGTATCAGAGAGGCGGCAGGCAGGATCAGGTGTGTGCAAATACACATTGCCTTTAGAAAATTTGACTAAGCTATTCTTCAAAAGAAATGCAAAAGATGCACAAAGTTTAAGGAAGCACCGATATTGAAATGTCTGACTGATTAATTGTAAATATAAACTACTTTGTGTATATATATATATATACACTGAACAAAATTATAAACGCAACACTTTTATTTTTGCCCCCTACAGTAAGCATGTTCTTTTTTGCCATAGTCTATTGCTGTGGTTTAAGATCTGAATCTTAAAATAAGGAATATAACATTTAGAATATTTATATATAATAAATAATTTATTTATATTGTATCAGTGTAAATATTTGTCAATATTTATCCTGATTAAAAAAAAAATGCACATATAATCTTATTAACAATATAGTGCCGATACAGTGGGCCCTATCATACATCCGGCGCAATGCTATTTTGAGGCAACTGAAATAGACTGCGCCATTGACCATCAAAAACCTGGTCTGGCGCAATATTTTTTATTTATTTTTTGTTATTTAAAGAGCACGTTAGTAACATGCGAATGTTACAACGTGCGTACACTTTGCTTATTACACACACAGGGATGCGCAGCAGCACACAAACATTTTTAAAAATGAAAAATTAAAGGATTAAAATGTAAAAGATTATTATTGTGTACATAAATATAAAAATGCCTACTTGTCATAATGGATAGTCTTTGCATGTATCAGAATTACGCACACGAGCAGATACGTTCCCTCACTAGAGAAGCGTTCAGTTTTTCTGCTTGCAAATTCCGCCATGTAAATAGCGAATCTGCCATGGCGCGAGTGCACCTGGCTTTTAAATGGAATGGGAGATGAGACTCTTGATTGGTTTATGGCACGTTACGCCCAAAACACACCCATTACTCATTAAGAGAATAGGGACAACCCTTTTAGACCATGACCATTTTTCCCGTTGTTAAACTAGCAAAAGTGGATTCGGACACGCCCTAAGCACAATTGCGCCGTGCGCTTTAGACCATGCACTAAGATCGTTAAAATAGGGCCCATTGTGTATAACAATAAATTATTATTGTCAAGGTCCAAAATTACCTTTCTGTCACACCTTAGTGTGGCATTAGTGTGATAATGTGTGGAATTAGTTGAATTGCTAAAACTGACTAGCCATAAATATTTCTTACACGAAACTGTGTTTTCTATAATTTTTTTTATATTAAAAATGCAGTATATATTTGTCCTTATGTCAGTTGGATTATTTGAATTTCATTGTCCTAATTTCAGTTTAATTTTTGTTTTTGTAGTAATTTTGTTGTGTTTTTTTTTTCTTTTATAGTATTTATTCATTTTATTTATTGCTTTTAGTTTTAGTTATTTTACTACTATAACTTAATCTAAATGAAAATGAGAGATGTTGCTAAAGTTGTTGCTAACAATTTTTTTAATGGATTTAGTTCCATTTAACAATAATAATCCTGTCTCTCACCACTTACATTAAGTTACCATAACTAACAACAAGCAACTGTGTTTCATTTATTTAGCCATTTTTACTTTATTTGCTAAGTGTTAATTATTAACCATGGTTAGCACATCTTAGAAGATATGATCTTTTTTGGTCACTTTACACATACACTCTTCACACTTGTCAGACACATGCTAAGCCACACAACTCCGAAGGGAACCTTGTCTTTGGGTTGAGACAACACAATAAATAGACCTCAGTAGTTTGTGCCCTCCAGCGCTGCTTTCAAATGTAACAATATGATTGATTTATGGGCCTGTTAAGTCGTTGCCTCATACATATTCCTGTTTGACTTGGCCTCTGGTTCCAGGCCGTGTGTCAGCGCGAGGAAAAATCAAGAAGGTGTTGGGCCTGTCGCTCCGCTGTTTTTGTGGAGTAGAGTGATGTGTTCTCCCATGGCATCACGATCACAGCCTCTTACTAAAGCCACCAACAATCGCTCTTCCACCTCCACAGCAATAGGGTTGCGTTCCCGTGGTGACAGGCTGTAGTATCGAATAAAAATAGAAGGCAATCAGGACGGTGTGGGGTGCAAGGCGGATTGAAGAGGGCTCCCTGCAGTTCGCTCTCAGCCCACTCCGCTAGCGGGATTTACATCCCATTAGCGCACTGCTGGATGGGTGCAGACAGTCCTGCCTCTGCTTCTGAAGAGGCCTGGAATAGCAGCCCAGCCCGCGGTCCAGTTCTCTCCCTCTCGTTCTCTCCTCTGAGATTACTGCTTACAGCTGTGTCTTCCCATGACTCCCACTTCTCATACTGACTCATCCTATATGATCATATACATTTGGTCAGCTGTCTTTTTAGTATGGCAACAATCTCTCTCTCCCTCGTTTGGCTGCTCCCTTCAGGGGTCTTAGCATGGCAACACTACTATTCAAAAATAAGGAAAATCATAAGTTCTCAACTGCAAAAAAAAATAAAAAATGCATCTAATCACATACTTGCCAGTATTTAAAAGACAAATTTAAAAATGTATAATTATTTAAAAAATGAATGAATAATTGTTATACAAAAATTAAAAAACGTATTCCAGAACCTTCCATTTATTTATTTATAAATATGTATCTATCCATCTATCCATCTATCTATCTATACTATCTGTAATCTTCATCTTCTCTTGCTAAACAATTTTTGTACTGTTGTTTGTTTGCCAGTGTATGTCTAGTTCAGCTTGTGAAGCAAAACCAGTAGAGGACCACTGATCTAGATTATAACTTGAACACACTAGATGGTAGTGTTACTATTGCACAATGGGGAACTGAGGGGAAAAAAATAAAACATTGCTCATAATAACGAGACCGAATTTCGATATTTTTGGCTGCTAGTTGTAATGTGGGTGTTTCCCAAAGGGAGGCACTGGATGTGGGTGGCTGGCTTACTCACTCGCATCTAGGGCTGGGTATCGTTCAAAAATTTTCGATATCGATACCGATACGATACCTTGACTTCGATACCGGTTCCTGAACGATACTTTTTTGTATACCAATTTTATGAAATCTATTTTAACAAGATTACATTATCTAAAAAAAAAACTTTGGTTTTATTTTTCACCTTGTTGATGTTTATACAGACTCAAAGACTCATCTCCTGAGCCACTTCACAAAGGAACAAAATGTAACTAACAAAAAATCAGTGCAAATAGTTTTAATAAAGCTCAAATAGTCTTCAGTTTACACATCTGTTAGCTACATTTACACTAGTGCGTGTTCGTTTTAAAACGCATAGCTCAGACAGAATCATCATTTCTATTCATTTTCCACTGATTTACTGATGAGCATTAGCAGCTTCCAGCGCTGTCTTCCTGTGTTCTCTCTTCCATGATCGCTGCTCTGACAGAGGAAATAACATATTTAATTTCAGCAACATTACATGGTCAAATTTGTCGGAGATAGTGGAAAGCCGGCTTGAAACGCAGTGGAAACGCCAGTATGACGAGGATCGTTTTCATTTTAAAACAAAAACGCACCAGTGTAAATGTAGCCTTACAGCTACGGGGGCTGGGACGCATTCACACTAAAGCCTCACGTGTGAGCCACATCTCTGAGTGTGACGCGGACCGACTGTGCAGACCTATCGGTGTATTACAGTAGACTGCTCCGTACGTTTTCGCATCGTTCTCGCGGATGTCAAACACTGATCGATCTGCGCCGCTTCTAATCGAGCACACCTAGTGCTGCAGGCTTATTGGCTCACTGACGGTGATGAGATTAACCCCTTAGGTATCGAAATTTGCTACCGAACGACGAGACGTTTTTCGATACTCGATGGTATCGAGGCAATTCGGTCGGTACCTAAAAAGTATTGAACTCGATACCCAGCCCTACTCGCATCCCATCAGAGAGTTGTTTAGAAACACTTGCCTGTACATCACAGTCATATAAACAGACACGTCTCCATAATCCAAAATATTTAAATGATGACAAAATACTCCATAGGGTTTATTTGATATAATTATGTAAATTTCGTCTTCACTTGCAGTCTTTGTCTTTTTTTTTTTGTTGTTGCACATTTTGCATGAATATGTTTTTGCATAGACAGGATGTGGCGTGCTGCATTCACTCATCAAAACATCTGTTACCACCCAATTTTGTCTGGTAATTTATTTACTACCATACAGAGACTAACTATATAAAAAAAAACTCTACAGCTAAACACTGCTAAAGTCTTGAGTGCATGTAAAATATCTAGTTGACTTCATAAAATATCTGTAGATTGAATTATTTGGAGCTGTTATATTATTCTAATATTAATACATTTATAATTTTAATAATGTCATGAAAATTAATGTCATAATTTATTTAGATTAATTATTATGTATCTGTTAAAAAATAAATAGAGTAAAAACAGTAGTATTGTGATATACTACTATTAGTTTAAATGGTTCTCTATTTTTAATATATTTTAAAATGTTATAATAAAAACATTCTAATAAGTTGATGTTATTACATCATGTAACACTTTTGTTATTATTAATGTTGAAAAGGAATTTGCAGCTTATTCTTTTTGTAGAAGATTACTTTTTTCAGGTTTCTTTGATGAGCAAAAGAACAACTTTTATTTGAAATCGAAATCTTGTGTAACATTACAAAGGTTTACTCTCCTTTTCAATCAGTTTAATGTATCTTTGCTGAATAAAAGTAGAATTTCTTGAATAAAAGATTTTACTGATCCTAAATGTTAATTTATATACAAATATTTTTTTTTTAAATATATATAATATAATATAATATTATATAAAAATGCATTCTTTCTTATTTTTCTGAACATACTTTTTACACAGTGTATGATCAGCCTGGCTTTTTTTTTTTTTTTTTTTACTTAAAACCTTTTTTGCTAAGGCTAATT